CTATAAGTAGATTTTCTGTAAATAGCTCTGCCTTTATTCACAGAGAAGCACTTTATGTCTTGCAAATAGCAATGCATTTAAAAGGATATAACCAAGAAGTTCAAGCCAAATGCTTAGAGAAACAGATGCAATTTACTCGAGAGTTTCAGGCAAAATATACTACTTAATTTAGTTATCAAGATTATATTGATAGGGATTTGCAAAATTGGGAAACCAGATATCATGGACATCATTTTCCTAGATTGGTTGAAATTATTATTCTCGCTCGGATCTGTTTATTAGCTAATGAAAATACACAATGGGAGTAGTGCCATGCTGCGGCTCTATCTTTACATGTCCCATTACTAACATATTTAACAAACTATTTAACATATTTACCAAACTATTTAGCATATTTACCAAACTATTTAACAATAATTATATTTCGGTGAACCTCTTACAAGTCATATGATAAATCACGTGGCGAAACGAAGAGAATCGTGCAGTTGCAAAACTTTTTTTTTTTTTTCTTCTTTTAAGTATCAGGAAGCTTGTCACCAAGCAACTCTTTTGTGTCGGTAAGCATGTTCCTGAATTATTTTTTCACATTTTACTTCCTTCCTACTCTTTTTTCTTTCTTTTTTTTTTTTTTTTTTTTTTTTTTTTTGAAGGGGGGGCCGGGAAGGTACTACGAAAGAGCCAGACTAAAGTCAGGCAGCGAAAGAAAAAGCACTACTGCTTTCACTGTAATATCCTTAACCTATAAATAATGACTTTACTTTCTCAAACTAACCCTAAATAGTAATAAGAATCTGTCATTACACCTTTACTTTCACATGTGAAGATCCTCGCAATAATAACCTCAGCATGACTTACATCATGTGTCAGGTTATTATTCTCACTCAGATCTGTTTATTAGCTAATGAAAATACATAATAGGAGCAAGAAGAGAATCATAGAAAGAAATAACAAATCTTTACCTTGGTAATAATTATTAAATTTTTTTTTTTTTTTTTTTTTTTAAAAAATCCATTTTTGATGATGTATTTTGTAAAGCTGTTGAAAAAGATCGAAGGTAAAGCTCTACTGAGTTCAACACCCAATCACTTATACTCATAATTTGTGACAATGTCAATCCTGCCTTCATTGCACCGGTTGTTCCACCTATACGCAAACTCTGATCAGAATATTTCCTATTTAATCATGCATATTTTGTAATTTTCTTCACTACTGCATTTATTGCTCCTGTAGACATGCGCTTCCCTAATATATTCACGAATAAAAAATCTTGACTGTTTATCTTTCTCCTTGTTTCTAAATATTGATAGATCAACTTTACAGAGCAATATAACGAATTTGTAGGATCTACTGGTATGAATTTCTCTTTTGCGAATTGATCCATTTTTGATTTATTTATTCTGACCCATAAAAATTTCCTTTTATCTTAATATCCGCCACTCGAAGATTACAGAGTTCTGCTGGTCTTCTCATTGTATGCAACCCTAGTGTTACTAGTGCACAGTCTCTTCTTCAGATTTGCTTTCTTATTCTCAAGAGTGGGTCATCAATATAAATTTGTAAAGCTTCAATGGGAAAAGGATCTCGGGGCCATATCGCTTCCTTATCTTCAGTTGCACATTTTAATAAATTTCTAACAAGACATTGCACATTAAAATTCTGTGTTGGGTCTGAGATTTCTAATGTATGATGATGGTAACTTATTGCAGTAAAACCACAAAACCAACTAGAAAACAATAAGTAAAAGACCAAAGTTGTCACCTTAATACCAAAAAAAAAAGATAAATAAATTTTATTGCTAGCATATACCAACGTAGTTTTAGCACCTTTGATGATAGGACTAATCAGGTAAAAAACATCATAATCGTTTCAGAATGGGCTGGACATGAATCTAATTTGTGGCAATCAAAATTGCAGCAAATTCGTTCTATAATGCTATAAGGCATTTTCCATATACTGACTTGGGCTCTATACTTTCATAAGCTTTTAATAATAAAGTTTTCAAAAACAAATTTTTACTGCCTGAAACTTCCATTGCTGGTTTTTCCAAGACTCTGGTATTAAGTTGCTTTCTGAGTTTAGTAGAAAACAATTTTTTGATGGTGGGAGATCCATTGATTCGATATGTTTTTGTATAAGAATCGGCCACCATGTGGCTGAAGTCCATACTGGTATAACTATTATCATCCGTGCCTGACACTGAATTCCATGTTCGAATATTCTTTGAATTAGTCTTAATGGAGGACAAAAATAATTGTTTTCCTGCTTCCAATTCACTGTAAAACAGTCCATCGCTTCTGTTTCTGGACAGTAGTAGCGGCTGTTGAATCGCTCTACTTTTCTTGTTCGATAGCTCGCCATCCTGTCTATCGTGAATGGTCACCATTTTCTTTTATCTTTATATATATATTTTGATCTAACTCCCAATCTGACTTGTCGAAAAAACGAGTTAATTTGTCTGCAGGATTCAATCGCGAAGGTACCCAACAAAACTCGTGAATTTGCACATCATGTTTATCGCAAAAACTCTATACCTGCTGCATTATATCCTTTTGCCATAGCTTTTTTCCTGCTACTTCTATTGTCCTTCTCGCAACTTGATTGTCTATATACACAGTTATCCAGTAATGTTTGATCAAATTTACAAATGCTTCAAGACCCAATAAGGCTGCTGTTGCTTCGAGAATAGCAATGTCCACATGTTTGTGATGATGTACCCAATTTCCAAAGGCTCTTCTTTTCCCCAAGGTTGCTGCCCACCCTGTGGTTGACATGTCGACATATATTGGAATTATCTGTGAAGGCTTCTAGGCCTGGCAGCCATTTCTTTCCCTCAAATTTTCCTGCAACCATTTTATATCCAACCTTGCTTGCTCTATCAATTTTATTGGATTGTCTCATTCCTATTTCGAATGATCTTTTGCATTTATTATTGAATAAAAATC